AATCGGGAACATGAGAAGACTTCGAAACGGCAAAAACATGAAAGTCGAGAATCTGGATGAACGGTGTTGCCATTAAACACGAAAATGTAATGCGTCTGCGAGAAAAAGGGATGTGAGTCCTAAAACAAGTGCTTGGCAGATATGGTTGGACTAAAGGTGTTTAGCACAACTTGCAAAAAGACGAAAAATTTCTGATACTCATCAGACTACAGTTTAGTTGTCTAACTCTTTTGGTGAGTTATCGGAATACATAAACTCTAAGCTGATCAGAAGCGCGACAAAGTGCAAATCACTTCAGGCTGTCTAGAATTTTATGAAGGTTACTGCATGACGAATGCGCAGAAGCAGCATTAGTTGAGCGGGCGCGAACGCGGCGTATCCTCAACGTTGTAAATCCTGTCCCTCATGCGCTCTATGGCTAATAAAGCCGCGTTCGCGCCCAAAGATATTGCGCCTTCGTCATGCAGCAACCTATACCACTTTCGTATAGAACGCTCGATCTCATGAAGAGCAAACATAAAGCAGAAAGACCTCCAAAGTTTCGAGGGAAAGGTACATTGCTCTCCTGACTCAGCGTGTAGTGTATAGGTATTTCTGAGCTATTTCTGGAAAGTAGAAACCCCAAAGAAAAATGCTTGATGAACTTTTCAAAAGTTCAGGACGTAGTGCCATAAAACTTATTGTACAAATAGCATCAACGAAGACTTTTTGATAATAATCTCACGACCGCAGATGCCGTTATGAAAAAATGTTATGGCAACCAAACGCGAAAAATCGTTTCTTAATCTTGTAAGTAGGAGCAGATTCAATAATATTTGTGAGAATAGTAGATTATGGGTTTGCTGTGATCTGTGTACATCAAATATAACTTCATTCTTGCCAGAACCAAATTGTTTTTTCGTTAAAAATCAGTCGCAGAAGTATAAATGAATATTTGAACATCAATTCAAAACATATAATGGCACAGAACATTATACTGACTACAAAATTGTGGTTAAATCCTCAAACTGGACTGATACCAACTGAACTCAAAGATTTCGCAATTAATGACCGAGAAGAAAAACTAAAGTCTTGAATATACAAAGTACAATAACATATATGAAGCATATCTAAAGATGGTATGATTGGGAGATGAGGCTAATATAATGACACATATCATTCTTTGCACGATTGTATCTGTTTTGCCTGAAAAAAGTGGTACGAGGTTATATAGGAAAGAATTGCTGTGGAAGCACATTTTTTTTATTAACATTTTTATTCTAGGAAAGTGACTCGGTTTCGTAAACATTTTTGTCTTCAAGAAGATGTTTAAAAATTGAATAGCTATAGATGTTGTACAAAACATCCATTACTGTTGTTGAAAGCAACTTCGAAAAACCCTAAATTCAGATTTTGGTGTTCATAGGGCATTATCGGTGCACAGCCTTGACTTTGCAGTGAACAAATTTTACTGCTGAAGAAAGCATCCTCAAGAACCCCTAGCTCCGAGACTTGGCCCTGCTCGGAGCAATTCTGCTATCGACCTTTGTTTTCAAAAAGTTTCACACGGTTTTAGCATCTGAAGCGATACTGGATAGTGAGCGGGACTTGCAAAGTCATGAAATTTAGGGAACTCGTAATCATAGTGGGTCCGAATGTGGCTGGCAGGAACCACGTAAGTGCGAGAATATGACTTGGGCGAGAAATACCAAAGCTAACGGAAAGTTGCCAGCCTCGTTGAGCACTGCGTGAAGAAAAGCACTGCAACTCTTTTCAAATGGCCTGGGTATCAACTATTTGATTGTTGGTGACACAACTTGCAGTAAAAGATTATAGCCTTTTGATTTGAGTTGTTTTCGGCTTTCATACCAAACGAACACATAATGGCATTTATAGCAATCAACGCTACTTGTAGCCAAGAAGAAGTAGATGCTTTTTCGCTCTAGGAGGAGAAATGGGCGCTTTTTGCAAGATGTTGTTGTGTTACACAGGGTTTTCTAAAAAAATGTGCTTACTGTTTGATGGGTGATAACTCTGTTGTCATGAAGTCATTTGAGAAGCTTCAAGTACCGTTTTGTAGAGCTGGCTTCAACATTTTGACGAAAACGTGATCCCCATGGTGGGTCATGCAGTGACAGCCACATGAAACAATGTCACCCGTATGGTGGATCACGGCTCAAATTTTGTTAAAATGATTACAATCATTGGATAGAATCGTTTCGTGAGGTCTTTTAAGCTCCGACCTTATAGGAGACTTTGACGTTTCCTGCTTTTTAGAATTTGTGTAGGTGAAGTATAGGTGGCGATCTGCGTGATTTTAGCTAGAACTTCTCTATTTATTCGTAAGAGGCATTGTCTCACAATGCAGACGACCAAAAATGCGCGTTGTTGTCAAAGTGTTAACTTAGATTTACAGTAGGGAAAGGATTACCGTTCCTTATTTATTACTGTAGGATCTCGCAACGCAGTTATATTACTGAGAGATGCCGCTCCCGCGTATCGATTGACTGGAGCGCGCTTTCCTCCTTAGAAAGCTGGGCTGCTGATGCGATTTTGGGCTCTAACAAAGACAAGAGGAGGAGTTTCGGAACCAAAATCCTACCATGTGGTAGGATTTTGGTTCCGATCCGATCCAAACTTTAAGTGTACAACATACTTATGTGAAAATTTTGAGAAACTTATGTGAAATGGAAGTTTTGCTTACTTCAGGTGGGCAATAGGTGGTCAATTGCCCACCTAATTTGGAAATGAGTTGGACACGCTCTCCATTCAGATAATTTTAAATTTACATTTTTTGTTCCTTATCTTACTGCGCGTATATACACCAAATCTTGCGCGATTTCGTCATCTGTCGTGCCAAACGAGTCATTTTTTCATTCTTTAGTAGCGGGAAGTTTTCAGAAAAAAGCTTGCTTCAACCTTCAGTCACATAATTTTCCAATGATAATTCTCTGCAGGGCCGCGTCCATGTAACTACCAAGTTTCATGACTAACATCGCCTGTGCTTCGCAAACGAGCCATTTGTATTCACAACTACATTTACCAATTATGGGAAATTTTTGGGAAAAATGCTTAGTACACCTTCCATTCACATAAGGGTTCGCTTGTGAGATTTGGTACCATATAAATACGCATGCACTGAGAACTAGTCACGTATGTTTTCCAAAAGGTATTGGTCAAGCACATCGCGCGTGCGGCGGTCAGCGGCGGCGCGGTTTGACGCGCGCGAACTTCACTGCGCGCCTGTTGAGGAACGTATTAACGGGTGTATGCCCTTCTGAACCGCTTCGTCCTAGCGCTAATTACTCTGCCCAAGCGGCGCTTTACTTCGCCTTTCTTATAATCTAGCAGTTTTCAAATATTCTGAGCCTTCCAAAGCAAGTGAGGCACACGAATAATGATAATGAGGATGTTTGAATTATGAAGACAAAAAGTTCGAAAGGTTGCATGTTTTTAGACATTTCGTGATTTTTTCGCTCTTCCCAGTTTTCAAAACACCATGAAGTCTGCACAATTAAGCTGAAGAATTTACCTAAGCCGCCCATATGAAACATTTTCGGTTTCATGGGAATCAAAATCTTGTTTTTCTTTTTATCATGAGAACCTTTGCAGTCCAATTCAGACGTCTCCAACGACAGCATAGCTCTCGCCTACCCAAGCGGCGGCAGCACTGACCAATCAAAGGCGCGCAGTAATTAGGCTGCTAATGCTGGCGGTTCAGAAGGGCCGTCTGGTGGGCGGAGTCTTCCCCAGCGTGAATTCACGCTCCAAGCTTCTGAAGCGATTTTATCGATTTCGCTAGCCGCACTGACATCTCGGCCAAGTACGCACGCCTGACTTGAAATCGAAACCGAGAAGATCGCTTCAGAAGCTGGGAGCGTGAATTCGTAGTGGGGAGAGCCCCACAAGGATTCCACCTCTGATTTTCCTCCTGTGTTAGAGCCCTTTTTCGCCGTTCTCGCGCTTACTAGTGTGGATTTTCGAAATCAGCATAGCCAATGGGCCCAGGTAAGCACAAAATCTCAAAATCGACTTTAGGTCCGAACACTGCCTTTGAAGAAGGACAAAAGAAGCTAAGGCCTACGCTATGTTAATCAAGGTCGCTCATTTTAAATTTTTAAGTAGCGTTTACCGTAACGCTTTTCTCGTAAGTTACGCTAGATATACCGTTACAACCGATTCTTGATTTTCGTCAGGAATTTCATTACGCCATTTAAAAACCCTGCGATCGCGCAAAAAGTTTATAAAATTAGCATAAGGGAAACTTTGTTATACAGTTTTTCAGATTTTTTTGAAAATTTTTTCGAATGGCCTATTTTAATGGCACCATATGCGGCAAGTTTTTACCGTAATCCTACAGTAATGAAGAAAGATAGGTAATTCGCTCCTTGCAATAAAACTAACAAGAGAAGGATACTTGATCGCAGTGATGATTGGGTAAGCGGTGTATATCGCGTACACCGTCCCCAGAAGGTGATCTCTAAACCGCACTCCATATCTGCTATGACGTCATTCTGAAAAAGCTATGGAGGATTTTGCAAAAACGCAAAACTCGTGGCATCCGAGAGGAATCGAACCCACAACACCCAGCTCAGCAGTCCAAGCCCACTACTGCACCAGTCGACCACTGCATCGGTGAGGCAAGTCTAGTACGTAAATGCGCCTGCAGCACCAAAAATCCTTTATAGCTCTTCCAGAATGACGTCATAGCAGGTATGGAGTGCAGTTTAGAAATCATCGTCTGTGGACGGTATACGCGATACACCTCTTACCCAATCGTCACTGCGCTCGAGTATCCTTCCCATGTATGTTGAGCCAGCTCCACAGAATGGCAACTAAATTTTCTCGAAAGATTCTATTAGAAGAGAGTTATGCATAATCAAACAAGGGGCACATTTTTGGGGACACCTTGTGTATTCAGTACAATATTTTAGAAATTTGACTAGAATAAACCGTTTTGATCCTACGACCATATAGTCTTATTTCACAAAGCTTATCTGATAACTAACCATTTTCAGTGTATGAAGACATTAGCAATCGTCATTTGTGCGGCTGCCATGGAATTAGCGAAAGTTGAGTCAGAACACGCAGTCGCATCAGTTCCGTCTTTGAAGAGTGCTCTTTCCTTTCCAAATAATAAACACATTATGGCAATCCCAACAGCAAAACTGGAAGCAAATCCGAGAACAACTGAGGAGAACTTCGGATTGAGGTAAGACGATCGGCAAGCTTACCTTTGTAAATCACACTTTAGAATTCTTTGGTGTTTTCGCATAACTTGATCGGGCATAAATTAAATAGCAGAACTGTTGTTATGAAACTTGCCAAAGTTGTAACCCAGAAATTTTTACAGTGGGGAAGTGACAACCATTTCTACGGATAGAGATTCATGATGTATATCCAAGCACTTCTTTTAAACAGATATTTCTGCTCAAACACCATCGACTCAAGAGACTTTCCTACTTACAAAACGATGCACTTCGGATTTTTACTCGGTATTTGACCACTATCAAAAATTTCGCAACAAGACAAAAAAAATTGGAGATAAAGCCCTCTCCTTACTAATGCGGCAGCTATCATGCTTAAATATCCTAACTCTTTCATGCACCCGCATGTACAGAAGCGGATTTTGGAAAAACCTCCGAGCTTCATTGTGTGAATTTGCTACAATGAGTTGTTTCAATACTCTTAGTACTTTGAAAGTTGCCTCAAAAGATGCTTCAAATTTGCAATTAGCACACAGAGCATGTTCAACAAGACTAAGTAATCTGCTTTTGTACCATATTTATTCTCCTGGATATGATTATGATAAGAGGGTTCAAAAACGATAGTGTTGTTTGAGTGTTTCATAAATAACCGTTCTTAATTTCAACTTCCTTCCCCAACTTGAACATTTCTCGAAGGGGCACTTAGAAAGGGTACAACTACATGATCGTACTTCTGTATGTCTGAGCTAGATGATCACGTGCGTCGGAGGAGTTTGCCATTTTACTCAATTCATTTCTTCCTCATTTCTAATTTTGGAAAAAAAATGGAAAGTGGACAATTGAGTGTTCGATGTTCAAGCGTATGTTAGGGGAAATGGATTGAAATTTCTTGAGGCGGAGATACGATTTTCGACGGTAAAGTTCGTTTTCAACCTCTTTCAGATTTCAGCTCAAAACTTCTCGTGAAATACGAATTAGGCGAACTCTTCATAGCCATCTTATAGAGCTTGCTTTGTCCTGTCGAATGATTGTTAAGCCACATCAGTTGAAGGAAAGATACAAAGAGACAACGGTTGTGTAAAAAATCGGTTATAAATCATGTGACACCGTAATAGGTTGGTCCGAAAGTTCTTGCATGATTCAACAAAAATTTGTTAACTTTTTTAAACGTTACACCTAAATTTATGGTTCGGTATCTTAAAATAGAAGAAGTGCAAATAAATACAATATTTAAGCGTAATATTCTATAAATTAATCACTGAAGAAGCTTTAAGAAACGGCGTTAAAAATTTTGCGATTTTAGTTTGGTGCTAAAAATCGCGAAGGGCCGCTAGCTTGCACAAAAACCTGATAAAAATTACTTACACAGCAGAAGTCCAAACTACTTTGGCAGGCTTCAATCTGTATCGTAACACAAAAACTAGAAATTTATGAAATATGTCATTTTACGGAAAAAATGCCCTCCCCACCTCAGTACTGCATTTTTCAGCGAATCCGTTTCGACGCTCCAAAAATCGTAACAGTTTCTAACTATGCGCTATGTCCAACTTCTGTTTTCATACTGTTGCGAAAAAGCTGCAGCGATAAGGGGATTTATTGTGAAATTTTTTTTCAGAAAATTTTCTTTTTTAATTTCCCTGCGAGATAGAAGCGTGCTAAAGTAACCTATAAACTTTCGCTATGTAAGAAATCTTTATGGGCTAGCTAGAGGTTCTCTGCACTTTCTAGCACCAAAAACAAAATCGCAAAGTCTGTAACGCTATTCTTGAAAGCTACGTTCTCGACTGGCTAGCTATGGCTAACTTATAGAATGTTATGCTTGAACAACGTAAACAGAGAAAGATGCAGAGACTTTTTAGGTTCTTGTCCAATGGTTGTTATTTTAACAATAGAAACTAACGATGCTCATATGGCAGAACTTTCTTACAAATTGAATATTTCCAAAATGTGAGACAATTGTTGTTAGAATTTTTACTACGATCTTGTTCAGCACTCCGCAACGAACGAAGCGACAGTTCTATCAAGCTAGAAGTATCGAATGTGCTGGAGTGGTTTGTCCTAGACCTTTACGCCAAAAACGTTTTATTGGAATTGGCTTTCCTGGATTTGGCGGCTTCTGGCCAGGCTTATTTGGCGGTCTGAACTTATTCGGTGGTTTGGGTGGATTGGGTGGACTTGGTGGATTTCCTGGAGGGTACCCTGCAGCGTGCTGCTGTTGTTACGGTTGAGAAGCTCAAGGAATGAAGACCACCCATGATACACTTTAAGAATGCCTTCTCACTGATCATTCATGTTTTTTTGTTTAACATGCGCATGCAAAACCGGCAATAAATCCCTATTCTGTTTTGTTTTAAATGTATCTTATATATAAAGCTGAATGTCTGTTTGCCTGTCTGTATGTATGTACGTATGTTCCGAATAGAAAATTCCATTTCTGAACCGATCCGGACCAAACTTGGCACACATACACTTCGGGCCCCGGCGGGTGTCATAGGCTACTTTTCATCATCGATCGATATCGATTTTATCGATTTTTTGCAAAATTTGAGCTACGGGGCTGGGAGTTGGCACAGGAGGGTAATCGAGCATGCTGATCACCCCCGTGGGGGTGCTTTTTGGCCCGCTCTCCCTTCAACTTGATTTTTGAGAAAACAAAACAATAAATGGGATGCAAAGTGGCTAAGAACAAATGTCACGACTGGTGACGAGAATATGTACTCCAAGAGCAAAACAGAAATTATTTCTAGAACCTCAGCAACAAGGGGTTTTGTAGGTATTAGGCTGTAACATAAGTCTTGAGATACTCCAATTTCTTATGGCGATAAGTCATGCAATTCACATTTCCAATGGGGATCCAGGGCACCATTCGATAGAGCAAAGCAAACTCTACAAGATAATATGCAAAAGTTCGCAACAACTTTAAATTACCGTAAGTTTGCATCCAGAATGTGAGTCGCACTGAAGACTTAGAAAGTCGCGAAAAATTCATATCTTCGTTCAATAAAATCTTACGAATCTCCAACTTGCTCATAAAAATTGCGCATTATATCAGACACTCACATGTACCGTTGCTGTAATTCTTCCTCATATGGAAATCGAGAAAACGAAAATTTTCAAGTTTTCACAAAAACGAAGCTGAGCTGTTTCCATTCATGCAATTGTATACTACAATCTCTTAGAAGTATGACCGTAAATTTTCACCTTCCACAAGCCCTAGTTTTCAAGAAATATTGATTTTAGCATGAAACACCCGAGTGAGGAGAGCTGAATTCGGTCATTTTCGAAAACTAGGGCTTGTGGAAAGCTGAAAAATTACGGTTATACTTCTTACATGAATGGAAACGGCTCAGCTTCGTTTTTGTGAAAACTTGAAAATTTTCGTTTTCTCGATTTCTAAATGAGGAAAAAACTCAGAAACGGTCCATGTGAGTGTCTGATGTAATGTGCAATTTTTATGAGCAAGTTGGAGATTCGTAAGATTTTATTGAACGAAGATATGAATTTTTCGCGATTTTCTAAGTCTTCAGTGCGACTCACATTCTGGATGCAAACCTACGGTGAGTAGTCAAAGCTGGTGAGAAAGTTTTGCAGACCATCTTGTAGAGCTTGCATTGCTCTATCGAATGGTGCCCTGGATCCTCATTGGAAATGTGAATTGCATGACTTGTCGCCATAAGAAATTGGAGTGTCTCAAGACTCGTGTTACAACCTAATACATGTACACTTTTTATAATAAACCTACATCAAACGCATTTGCTGTACACTTGTGGCCCACAATGATGTGATGATGTGATTTATGGTTTGGGACGTCGTAAAAACTAGGAAGTGAGCTTCGAGTTGAGAGGTACTCATAACTGTTGCTAAAGGATACCTGATCATTCTGACTCTTGCCAGACTCTTGGAACGTGATGATGACCCACACTTTTGCAATGAGCTCAAAATTCTTTTTGATATCTGATAAGTGAATATACCCAAAAGGATAGTCTGCACTCACAGATGGCTTGTAAGGTCAAAAAAATCTTGATTGGTTTTCAACTTTTCCGCAGAGCCGGTAGAGGAATATAGCTGTTTTTCGCAAATAGTTTTGGCTGAATGTTGGCTGGAATTCACTCAATCAAATGCTGGTCTCATTCAGTAAAGTGATGGATAGGTTAAATTACTGCGCAAAGATGATCGGAGGTCATTCGAAGTGTTCGTCCTCATGGCAGTTCCCCTTCTGGTCAATAATCTACTCTTTCTGAGGGTGATTTCCTAAAAAATTTCTGCCAGTGAGCACAATGAGTCAGCGTAGTCGAAAGGTTCGAAAAATGTCACTATTCTAAGCGCGGGAAATATTGTGTTGAACCGAAAGTTCTGCCACAGCTTTTAAAATCTCTAACTTGCTTTGTCAGTGTTTTTGAGTTTTGAGTTAAGCTTAGTGAATGAGCCTAACATGCACTTACTAACGACACCTTGGAAACCTTCTATCTCTTATTGCAGATATGGGAATGAAAGACCACGTGAGATTTGGTGAATCTGTGCAGCCAAATCTTAAAGTTGTGCTAAAAATCAAAGGCCAGTATCATAAGTTGCCTAGACTTTTTCTACGTTCTGAGCGAAGTTCATTTCAAGCTTCTCTATCAAAAATTACGATTTTCAAAAAAAAAGCCAAAGAGAACCACGTCATCTCTATCGTTACTTCGAAAAATAAAAATAAAATAAAATAAAATAAATAAAATAACTTTTCAAAAAGAAATTGAGCAATACACTAGAAATGGAAAAATTGCTTTGAATTTTATTGCATAGCTCCTAAGACTTCGACGGGACCAGGTAAAATCTCTAACCTTTGAATAATTTTTCATTCCATTTTTATATGCAATCAGGATATAATAAACAAGCAGCCAAGGTCACTCAAAAAGTATACGAATAATTTTTTGATAGAAATGACGCTCAAAAACATCGACACAGCCAGATGTAACGGATTTTCAAAATTTGTGCGACAGAACTTTCGGTTCACCCTATTATAGAGTCAATTATCTAGTCTTTATGATATCAAAAGCAGTGAATTGCTCGCATAAACACTAAATACCTTTTTGTCGTACAAGACTAAATGAGTGCTTCTTGGTGTGATGAGGAAATCTACTCATTTTTAACGATTTTAGCTTGAATTTTCTGGGAATTTGCTGTCCCTCAAGAGGGAACGCGCAATAACGCGCTAAGAGTGTTTACGTGTTTTTGTGTGTCTGTCTGTCTGAATGTCTGTCTGTCACGAAATTCGTAGAGCGTGTTCGAGCCAACGTCCTGGGCTCAAATTTTGCATAGCACTTGCTACTGGCATGAAAGTCCAGCATGCAAAAGCACAAGCAGATTCGTTGAGTGGGTCTCTTGAAAATTGCGCGTCAAACGGATCCACTTTGCATTTGGTTCACAAAATTGGGTCCGTAATTTCACTTTTTGCAGAGTGGTGGGTGTTTATAGCAAGTAAATGTGCAAGCAATGAACTTAAGCCCAAATAAGTGGGCAAAAGTCCATTACTTTACAAAAACGGCGCCAAAAAGTATTGCTTGCTTAAATGGTCAATTTGCCAAGGTTCTAGAAAAGCATTTGAGAAGATATTCGCACAGAAAAATAGCTCACTGTGACTATTGCCTTTATGGCGACCATCAAACCATGACAAATTCAAGAACCTATTCAAATTTGCCTTTATCTTCCTGCGAAAAGTTTTTTCCATGCGAAATCACCGATCTCACGTGAAAAAGCTTTCTAAATGAGTAGTTGTTTACATTTCATTTGTGGTAGTCGGCATAGCACGGTGAGTTCCAGTGCCACGATTTTACGAGAATGAGTAAGACACATAGATAGTAGAGCCAGTGCGAGCCTCTGCGAAGCAGAGGTGACGCACTGGTACATGAAATAAAGCGCTTGTAAAACAATCCAATTTCCCTTACTTTCTTATGAAATAACCAGTTCGCATATTCATCGAGTTTTTGCTGAAATGCTATCATGGCCTAATATGTATCAAATGCAACAAAAATCTTGTATCGTTGGGTATGATCAAATTCGTTAGCAATTCTTATACTTCAAGTATTTTTTGAGCTACCTCCTCAAGCGGTCCATATTTAAAGGTGCTGCAACATCTTATGCATGTTCTAATCATAGTTCTACAATGGAGCATTTTCTCTTAGCAGTTGTTCCATTTTCATAACTTTTGAGAATATCTCTCATTGAGAAAGATTCATGCATGCTGCCTCAATTTTGTGAAAATACAATATTATGTCTTATCATGTGAAATTGTTATAAATAATGGTTCTCTCAAATTTCTACCGTTCTAATACCTCTTCTTTGGAATGCTAGTGAGGGAGAAACTAGGTTTTCTAATCCAAATATTAGATCGTCTGATAGCCCTTTCTTTCTAGTTTCTTATGGAAGCTCTCCTTTTTATGAACATGAAGCTTGCTCATTCTGCGGCTATGTAACTTGGAATCAGATGTGGAATTCTTTCTCTTTGCTTTATCTCCGCGATCTTCATATGCAATGAACAGAAAATCCCAGTATCTTACAGAGTCTATAATGTCGGGATAAGATCAAAAATATTTGGATTAGAAAATTTTCAACATAAACACGAATTGCTGGGAGTCCTTAACCCATTGACGACGATGTGGACCACCGGTGGCCCACGCACTTTTTGTCGCCAGGGACGATATGGACCACCGGTGACCGAACACCCCTTGCAAAATCATATCATTCCCAGGTCGAGTATTTTTCCAAAGTCCAGCATTTTTTCTAATTTTTTGCACTTTTGGAAAATGTAGACTTCGTCACAAGAAGATGGCTCTAGTTGTTTACAAAACATTTTTACATTCACAAATACTAACAAAACTTTCCCCCGTCGAAAGTGTTGTGCAAAATCGCGTCGGTGCAAAATCGCGTCGTCCCACAGAGCCGCCACGCAAAAATTAGGCGTCGCCGTCAATGTGTTAAGAAACGTCGCAAAGTTGGCAGCTCATTGCGATCACGAGACCTTCGCTCTAGATAACCAAAAAATATTTGAAAGAAATTCCCTAATTTTAGCGGCAAAATATATGAAATTCGAAGAGTGCATTTTTTGCCGTTTTAGAGAGCTAAGTTGGTATATTCAGAATTCTTACAGAAATTTCTGTGAAAAAAGGTTCGGTCACTCCAAGGGTAATATTGCTCCTCATTACACAGCGAACAGAGCTTTGCTATCCTATTTCTGTTGTGATAAGTTATGGTTCCTCAAAGCAGGGCTTCCCAACAAGAATATCTGACGATCTTTGATTAGGAAATTTTCCTGTAGTTGCTTCAATATATTTGAGTAGCATGGAGCTTCCGTTATTTTGCACATTCAGCACAGTACATTGTATTCTAAGTGAGTGATTCTAAAAGAGTTATGGTGGAAGACACATTCGAACAGGGATGTTACTATCTATTATTATTCGAATTTTTGGGATGATTTATCATATTTTCAACTTCTTGCATACAGTTCGTTTCAACCGGAATAAGCAAAGATTTCGACGTGGAGCAGCACGTCCGCATTGATGGGGACTTTGCAAGCGCACAGCGCTGGAATTTTGCCAAAAAGAGTGAGGAGAATGAAGAAACGCAGACATGGGTTCAGAGCACAGTGTAATGTACTGCAGTCGCGAACGCGCGAACTATTGCGAGGAGGACGGGCGCCAATCCATTTTCCGTCTAAACTGGGCTGGAACTTACTGTAACGCTTACCACCTAACCTTGCCAAGACGTCTACAGTCTGCTCCAATCCCAACCAGGCCAAAAATGGCATGGAAGGATTTTTTTTTTCGATAACAAGGCATGGAAGGAGTCCGTACCGCAAAGGTATCGCGTCGCGTCTACGGCTAACCACTCCGCTCTCTGCTCAATTTCTTGGCTCTCCTGCGACAGCGTGCCTATGCAGCGCAAACCCTTAGCGCTGCGAGCCGAGAGTTCGGCCTGATCCCAATTGGGGCAGACTGTATATTACAGATATGGGAAATAATGATGAGCTCTAGCATATTGTACCTCACAGCTAACTGACAGCTAGCGGATTTCTAGATTTGGTTGGTGCTGCAAAATATTGCTTTATGCACTCTATACTGATTTGATCAGCTGTGGCAGCTAGAATACCTCAGGTATTCTAGCTGCCACAAGCCCGTTAAAGCACCGTTCACCCAGATTTTCGACTTCCACGTTTTCGTCGTTTCAGGGCCTTCTCATGTTCCTGATTCCGAATATGAAGTCGAGAATGCTCGAAAACCTCAAAATTCCGCGTCCCGGAGAACCACAGGCCGGCTTTCCGGAACGGTGATTGGATGGGAGCGCACAAATGGGCGGGCGTGGATGGGGGAGGGCGGGTATGGATGGGGGTCCTCGTGCATCTTCTCTATTCCTCAGCGATTTTCTCGCTTCCGAAGCGAGATTTTGCGCCGCGACTTGGACATTGGATTGATAGGGGGCCCTACTATTAAATGCTTTCGAAAGCTCAACACCCTCAACTAAGGGTGGACGGTGCCTTTAAGAGTTCCAAGGTGCGAGCATGTGCTATAACCAGCATGCCGAAAGACAAAACAATCAGAATTTCTAAGACCCCTGCGGGCATGCTCCAAATGCATCTTACTTCGTAATCGAAGAGGTTACTGAGTGCATGTAGGCTTTTTTCACCTATGCGGGGACCAGGTTACCGAGTTGGTGCTTTTGTACTTTCAGACTGCTCTGGTACTAATTACCATCTCGGGTAGGGAGCGGTGGGATCGGGACCGTGTCCCACCTAGTCATAGCGGCAATTCAACATGTCAACTCATTATATACTTGACCAATGGTGGCCCTTTCATTGCTCTTGATAACACCATAAAATTGGCAGTGGAACTTATGCTTTTGAAGATTATCAAAATATACGAAATGACTAACATAATGCATTAGATCATAACAGAGCGGTCGTCTGTAGGCGCAGTCATGTCCCAGATACTATATGAACGCGATAGGGATGATAAACATTTGCATAAATGTGCAATAATGCTTGCAATAAAGCGCTGTCTGCCTGTTTGTCTGTCTGCGTGTATATCTATGTGTCCGAACTTCATAAAGCCACTTGCAGTCAACGTCTCAAACCACAGTTTTGCACAACATACAGTTCCAGCACGTAAGTTTACCGCCTTAAGAATGAGCCGATCCGATACGCGCATCCTTCAAAAATTGGGTGACAGACGGGTTCACACGGATTTTGGCCAGCAGAACCGATGCGGTATTCTTTTCATAAGGTGACGAATTCGTTTGGGAAGCAAATCCGCAAACCATGATCTCCTCAAGAAGTGATCAAAAAACATTCTGCGAAAACGGCGTCAAAAAAGAATGATCGCGCATTGTCAGTTTGTAGAGGTTTTATCCAAGTAACTGAGGAAACCATTACTTAGAAATGTAGCCCACGGTAATCACCGTCTTTATGGCGGCTATCAAACCAAAAGAGATTCGGTAGTTGATTAAATTTCGCATTTGTTCTCCTGCGAAAAGTTGCTCCTCCCAAAGTCCCCAGTCTTGCATGGAAAAATTCAAAAAATGAGTAGTTGCATTCGTGATAGTCAGCATTTTGCAATAAGTTTTAAAGCGATCATGATGCGAAAATAAGAAAGAATAGGATAGTAGATCCAGTGCGAACTCTGCGAAGCAGAGGGGTGACGCAGTTAATAGTGAGTTCGTAGTGATAGTCAACAAGCCTTTCGACTTTTTCCCCTTTTGGTCCACAAACAAATGTATGGCCTCAGCTGATTACTATTCTTCAAAACTCTTTGTTGTGGATTGTTCCATCTTGTTTACAAGACTGTCAACTCATAAAACACTTTGCTTTGGAGTTGATTACGTTTTGGACCCCAAAGTTGCATCCTCCTTTTTCAGGACATGCATTTCCGGTCAACCCTTTTAATCGCCACGGTTCATTCTGTATTTCTCATTGCTGCAGAAAACTCCTTATTTGAAAAGGATTCAACCACGATTTTACAACCACCTGCACTTCAGGAATTCTCCAGAATTAATAACAATGAACAATTACGCAACATCACTGAAGCTGTCGAATTGAGGTAAGTACATATACCTTGAATACCTTTTGAATTTTGAGTTTGAAAGAAAGTGAAGTGCTGCCAACTTTTCCTTATAGGCTGCAAAAGGAAACAAACATTGCTTGGGGCGAATCTTCGTTCTGCTTGCGTTTTTTTTTCAGCACGTTGAGACTAAAGCGTCAGTTTCATCGCTGGGAGTTCGGTTGCGATCTCAGACGATGTGGAGGATCTTTTCGCCAGAAACGTTCCTATTACCCTATTAGTCCCGGCGGTTTTGGTGGGATGCCTTTTAGCGGAACATTCTACGGTACCATTGGAAGCAGCGGATACGGTGGTTACGGTGGTTACGGCGGCTATGGTGGTTATAGTGGTTACGGCGGTTACGGTGGTTACGGTGGTTACGGTGGTTACGGTGGTTACGGTGGTTACGGTGGCTACAGCGGCGGATATGGATATCGTGGCTATAATGGCGGATACGGAGGTTATGGTTACGGCGGATATGGTGGATACAGTAGATACTGTTGTTACTGCTGTTGTTGTTGCTGCTGCTGTTAGGATTATTCGCATACTCTGTGCTTTTATTTTACCTCGTAGTAAATCTATTATACATATATGCTTATTTTGTTTCTAAATCACACCCTACTTCATAACTCTGCTATCGCGCACATATTATTATGTTGTTGCCTCCAAAAATTAGACCTCTTTTTACCTATCCGCAAAATCACAAGAATAATGAGGCAGCACCTAGTGCTTTTCATCGTAGCTTTTTCTTTTTCAAAAGGTATGTTTGCGTTTTGATTTCTGTGGGGTCGCTAATATTTGCAATTACTTACTCCTACTTCGTCTTTCTTACTATGCAGCTAAACCTCAATAACTTGCTCTCAAATTTTTTCTTCATTTTTTATCTGACATTTCAATATTTCTAATAAAATCTCTACAAAAAGTTCTGACTTTACGAAAAATGTATTTCATGAACCAAACCTAAATCTTTTGTAATTTGAAAAAGCGAAAGATTATTCACCGCCAAACAAACGTCGTATCAAAATGTAAAAAACTACTTTCTAGAATATGTGGCTTGCATTTTGAGTGTTTTATTGCATTTGAGAGTACTTATAGAATCGAGAGTCAATTCTGAATTTTAAGAAGAAACACTTCAAAGTTCTCAGATAATGCCCAGTTTGTACTTCAGCCAGTGTTTCACAAGGCTTTTTAACCCGAAAATTCCATTCTATTGGAGGTCTCAGAGATTAGACACACTAAAATACAGTGGTAGAAAAGCGAGTATAGTAACGTAAAGTTCGCAACGTTTCTTACTCAGCCTTCAAAAGCAAAGATTTTTCAAATACACCTAATCCAAGCATTTGGCGGCGATCATTCCTGTCAATAATCCATTGTTTTTCTTTGTGACTCACTGGTAAATCCAAAAGAAACTTTTGGAAAAAGACCTATCATCCTACCACGTTCTACTTCACGAAACTTTCTGTACATGCTTGGTCGATAATGTGCTAACATGCTCTCACTTTAGTTCATGTTCGTTAATTGTTGTGTTTAACAAGAGGCTTGTATTTTGCTCACATCTACACTGCATTTTACAATTGCTTCCGAAAACACAGATAAAAGCTCATATTTGTGCTGTTCAGAGCCATACAGTGTTGAGGAGATAAGCGGATAGATCTGATTAAAAAAAGGGACCGCTGCACAGATATCGAATGTCAATGTGTTATTCCCCTCTCTCAGTTACAGAATATGGGGACGTAAGCAAGTGTATCGTGCAACTCTTTCTTTGAGATTAATGAACTTGCTAGGTACCAGCTTTAGGCTCCCTTCAGAGTGCTGCCTGCGCGACGTCAGCGATGCGCCGGCGCCGAGCAAGCGCCGAGCTAGCGCCGAGCAAGCGCCGAGCTAGCGCCTAGCTAGCGCTTAGCTAACGCCGCGCCGACAGCGCTGCCACGGGCCCCGACACGTTTTCCGATCAATGCAGGGTGCGTCCACCTCGCCAGAGACGCCATTACTTCATTTTTCTCGTGCCTTTCTCTCCTTCTCGCGCTCTCTTTCGTCCTTTTTACTTCTCTATCGTTTTTTAGTTGCTTTTTTTTCCAAAAAAGCAACTAAAAAACGTGTCAGTGCCTCTTGTCATTGCTTGTCAAGTGGCGCAAAAACACTTTTGCGCGGAGCTTCCAAGTGTACAAAAGGGAATTTCTCCCCATGCAAGGAAGGGTGCGGGATTATGGATTAAGTTCTAGCATTTCCAGCTAATCTATTTTCAGTCTTGCTCGTCTACTCAATTCCGTCAACCTGCCGGCCAAGTAGTGGCATAGTAACAATCTCGATCAAGACTCTGGAATCAAATCGCAGGCGAAACGTCGGCGCGATTATTTGCGTCCTAGATGTCTAGTATGCTTTCGGTTTGACGATCAGCTTTCATCATCTGACGTTGTTGACAGAAAATTCGACGAATGCACTCGTTTTCAAGTAAGCCAACCCGCTGGTACCAACCCGCTGCCGACCTCGTAGTGGCATCTAATCAGTATCTAACATTGTGAAGAAGCAAATGAGACATAACATAGAAAAAGGAAGAAATCTATAAATCAAATCTATCTCTGAATATATAGGGTGAAAGTCAACTCATCAGCAGAAAAGGGCGACAATAGCCTTTCTTTCACGTTTTGTGTTACTTGAAAACTTGTGTTATATGAAAGACGGGCTAGATTTTGTCATCCTTTTCTGCTGATGAGTTGATTTTCACCCTATATCTTCAAAGGGTTAGATTTGATTTATAGATTTTATTCCTTTTCCTATGTTACGCCTCATTCGGAAAAAATATTGAAATTGCTGACGAGTTGACTCAAAGAGAAAGATACAAACGAACTGAGGAGTGAAAGAGGAGATCCCACCTGTACGCTACAAAAATTGCGCCCAAGTGTTTCGATTTGATTTGCCTCTAAACAAACACCGGCGAAAAAGCGCCTCCTGAAACAGAAAGAGTATTAAGAAACAACAGAGGGATCGAAAAAGCGACAAAGAGGAGCGCAGAGAAGAAGAGACACGAGATTAGTGGAAAAGGACGAAAACGCAAGGTTCGGGCTTTCCTGGCTAGGTGTGCTCACCCTGCATTCATAGGAAATTGCGCCGGGACCCTGGCAACGCTGTGTCGTTTCGGCGCTAGCTAGGCGCTAGCTTGGCGCTGGCTCGGCGCCGGCGCAGCGCTGACGTTGTGCCGGCATTCTGGCGAGAGCCTTAAAAAGAAAACAACTCTAGTCATTTACTATGCTGCAACTAGCTGGGGAAGAACGATAATTGAGTCTATGAAAAATCTCCTTCAACTCTTTCTCTTAGGCCGAAAAAACAAAAAAAAAACAAAAAACAAAAAAAACAAAAGAAACATTATAACGATGTTAAGGTAAATAAGCTGGCTGTATGTAATTCGAACTTATGCATTATGGCCGTAATGAACCGGACATTTCAAATGAACTTAAGTTTTAGCTGAGGATCTTAAGCTAAATTTACGAGCAGTCACTCTCTCCTCAATCGTTCATGCTATAAAATTGCAACGTGACCTGACATAAGCGTCCGGTCAATGCCGCGCTGATTTCACCCGACTTCTATAAGTGCAACGTAAAGCTGAGTTGATCTCATTGAAATAATTTGCAAACGGATAAACCCAGAAAATTTTAACGGGTTCTTGTGAGTAGCTTGCAGTACATGTCATTTGACCTAGTTCGCGGTACAAGAACGCGCAAACTGCGGTACGCGGACAGTTAGTAGAGGATCGATGGACAGTTACGGCAGCCTAGAAATCATAAGACTTGGAAAGGTTTTTTTCAGAACTCTCTTCTCAGAATCTTATGCAACTCTGGGTGAGGATTACTCTTTTGATTATCTGCTATTGGCTGGAATATGTTTCCGATAAAAGGTCAAAATAAAATCTCTGATAGCGACAGTCACAACAATCAAATTTTCGATAGTGGGTCAATATCATTGTCATCCTATAAATTTTTCCGTATTCGCACCTACAAAACTAAAGACTCACAACTCAATCCTGAATCAACCGATCTGCTCAGAATAAACCATCGTGTTTAACACATCTCTGGCAACGTCACCACATTTTTTGTTTTTTTTTTTCATATGAAGAGATTTAAGAGTTGTTATTGTTACTTTAGGCTTCTTATTATCTAGTGAGCTCTATCATTTCATAATAGATATCTGGAGATCTCAAGGAATGAGGAGGTCCTCGATGCATCATTACTCATGTTTTTGAAAGCCAATTTCTCATAGGCGGTCTAGCGGCGATTTGGGCGATGGTAGCAGATCCTATAGTTAGGGGTGCAATCTTGCACAATTCTCAGTTTTTGACAAACGTTTCAAATTTTTATCATACTGATCCGTTCTAACAGGATAGCCACATCTTACAAGGCTATAGCGTACAAGACCAGCAAAATTACATCATTTTAGGTCCTTCATCCTTTTGTAATGCTGTTTGAGGCCACGCCTTAGTGCTTGTTCAAATTGTTTCACCGAGATGTTGTTTGTAGCAGTACTCAGCCCAGCTTCGTGCGTAGCTAACAGTCCAAGCCAAAAAACGGATCCTCCTATATAAAATCATTAACGAAAGCTATAGATCGTTAGACCGAATGATAAACTATGTAATGGCTCCCAACTAAGCTGAAAATATTGTGCTGGGCACATCGTGAACAAGTCAAAAGCCAACTTATTCAAAGTCCGCCTAGACTGAGTTGAAACCTAGATGTTGCAGGTAACAGAACATGAAATCTTATGAAAAATGAAAGTAGCCAGAAGCACAACAAAGAAGGCGCCGAAGTGCTTACAAATCATACAGTCTGCCCCAATCCTAACCAGGCCAAAATTGGCTTGGCGGGAGTGCGCGTCGCGAGGGTTTCGCGCCACTTCTGCATCTAGCTAGTCTGCTCTCTCCTCAATCTCTTCGCTCTCTGCGACAGCGCGCGTATGCAGCGCAAACCTCTAGCGCTGCGAGCGCGCATATTCAGCCGACGGTTCGGCCTGATCCCGATTGGGGCAGACTGTAACTATTCTTGGGTTACTAAAGGAACCACGATCAGCCTCTCTCTGATCGGGCCTTATAACTTGCCCCCATCAATTACTAGCCTCAGCTGCAGCACAGAACACATCAACAGGATATACATTTATGGGCAAGTACGGAACGACAACACATCAATATCAATGAGAACACAATCGAGATCAACTAGAAGTGAGAAATCAAATGAAGAAAATTATAGATTGTACAGGACCTGCAGCGACACAACCAATTCTTCCAGAGGAAGAACAGTTCTTAACCCAATTTCCAGAACATTATCTCGCCGGATGCGCCTACCCAGAACCAACCATTCAATCTGAACAATCCTCAGAAATTCTACAGCCATCACATAATTACAATCTCCGATCCAAATCCAAACATTTCCTGATTCCTCTCCCTTTCAAGCTGTTTTTTTGTGTTCATCCCTTCTTTTTGATTCGTCCGTGTTCGTAATTCCTCGCTGTAATCGCGTCGTCTCTTGTTCGCATATCGCACACTCATT